GATACAACAAATAATCTCTTTTTCCCATATCCTATCTCTTATCTATAAACAAAGCCTTATAGCCTCGGCATTTCAGTACTGATATCAGCAAAAGTTCATTAAGGGTTACCCGAGAGAACAACGTATCTATTTTAGCCTTGATCAAATAAATGAACTTCATATTCCTTTCTTTTACTTCTAACGATCTTTAGTCCCATCAAATAATGTCCTAGAACTTGATTTCTTTTCATTTTTTCTTTGACCCTTCTCACAAAATTCTTCAAAGCTTTAACATGCCTCTTTTGTAAAACCAATATAGGAGGATTATCCAGGTCACTCTCTTGGTTTGCTATGTGTATATCTCTTTTAGTTATTAAGACATCAATCAGTTTCTTTTGTATGTCAAGTGTAACTTCTTTTTCCATGTCATTCTTGTACCCTGTCATTTTTAAATCCACTTTCAAATCAGTCTCAATCTTGTCAGGTAAAACTTGTTTCTCTTCCATAACATCTTTAAACACAGTTGATCTGTAGAGGCAGACACTGTTAAAATTAACTTCTGGGTCCATTGTTCAAAAATATTTTTCAATACGTCCAATGTTAAAATATTTTGCTTCATCCTATATTAGTAAGTCAAATATTATTGTTCTCCTTTAATTGTAATCTTTAGTTTCTTCTAGTTCCGTCTAGTGTCCAATTTTTAAAGTCTTATGTTTTTTATAAAGAATTCAAAACAAAAGCATTTTCCCATGACAAGGATTCTTTATAATTAATTCCAAAATCTTATTTCAAATTTATCTGGACCCTTAGTCCATTTGTAACTTTCTAAAATCAAAGTAATACAAGTTTAAGGACTTAGAATTTTTTTTTTCTGGTATAAAGAATTCAAAACAAAAGCATTTTCCCATGACAAGGATTCTTTATAATTAATTCCAAAATCTTATTTCAAATTTATCTGGACCCTTAGTCCATTTGTAACTTTCTAAAATCAAAGTTGCTGTTTATTCCAGAAAAAAAAAATTCTAAGTCCTTAAACTTGTATTTAAAATCTCTTTCATTAAGGATTGAAGGAAACTCACCTGGTGCTATAAACATGTTGATCCAAAGGTTTCTAATAGCTGAAAAGCAGTAAACAAACGAATTCCGAAAGTGATTTGAAAAGGAAATATGCAAACCCAATGGCCTTTTAAAGGTGCCAACCGCAGTTTGAGCAAGATGGTTATTTTCCTGTCTCCCAGAGCTTTAAACCTGCTGGAGCCCACTATTTTGCAAGGAGAACTGTCTGGAGCACTTGTGGGCAATCTCAAGTCCTCTCCTTGTCCAGAGGAATTACAAAGACCTGGTCTACTTGCCAGCTCTTCATTCGACTGCTCTGGTTGGCTCCACTTTTCACAGAGCTGTCTTCAGTTCACCATTTCTTCCCCAGAAGTTTTGTTTGTTATATTTTTAATACATGAGCAGGATTCACACCTATCGATGTTTAGTACACTGAATAAAGTTTAAAAATTGTAATATATTATCTAGGTAATTTGTTTCCTTGTTTTTATTTCCTAGGAAAACCAGGTTTGCAGGTAAGTACTACTTTTGAATTGTGTTACAGAAAATACACTTTATTTAAATATTTTTTTATTACTACATTGTGGTATCTTATTTCATTCTTTGCTGGATTATTTTTATAGCCAAAGATCACCAAAAAAAATTTGGTACGTGAATCTCCTGCTCCTGTTTTAAAGGAGGCAATCAGAGAAAAGCAAAAATCAGGTAATTTTTGCTACAGTAAATTATTTGAGGGATAAAATATTATATTGTACATATTGTTACATATATTTTAACATCACTAATTTCTCCTTTCAGATTTAATGGAAGAACTTGGCTTGGATGATGCAGATGATATTGAAGGTTCTCAAATATTTTACACATATTTATGTATCATACTTAGAAAAATATTTAATGCCATCAAATTTTGCCATGTATTGCAAAAAAAAATTAGTCAGATTTTACTTAGGAAACTAAATGACAAACCACATAAATCTGTGTATTTTATCTTAAACTGTAGAAGATTAAATTCCTTTTCACTTGGGAGATATGTAGACAAATAAATGTAATTGTTAAGTCAAAACATTTTCCAGTAGCTATCAGTATTTTTAAGAGCCCAGTGATAATATATTACAGATGGGGGAATGTTTCATCCATAGACAGTTTTGTTGTTAATATTGGCATCCTAATAGATCTTTCTGTTAATTGATTTTAAAATACATTGGATTTAATTTGCTAGAATAAATTATTGTATGTTATCATATTTACTGCTTTGACCTTTTTTATGTCTTACGTTGTCAGATGCCTCTGACTGGGATTCTACCAGCATTTCTCTTAAGAGCACTCCATATGCTAAACCAGCTAACATACTGATGTTAGAAGATCATGCATCTCCACGACAATTAGCAGAAACAAATGTTACACTTGAAATCTCAGTTCCTGTGAAAGAAGATTCAAATACTCAGACAGTAATTTCTTCAAAAGGTAGCTGGTGTCATTTTTAACAAAATCAAGATGTGAGAATTTTTGCAAGGGGTTTTACACAGGGTTTTGCAAATTAGATAACCCCAATCCCAAGCAAATCATTCTTGGTTTCTTCCACCCTTCTACTGGAACCATTCTGACAGTCTTAAGTGTCCTAGAATGATAGTTTGTAATACTATTTTGTTTATTATAAGGCAGGGGTTTTTTTTCTTTTTGTGTAGGAAACAGTTCCTTTTCTTCCTAGAGAGTACAGAAATCTAACAAAGCCTCCTACTGGATGCAGATAGAGGAAGTAGTTTTTGTTAATTCTTCCTTCTTACATTCCATGTAAGGAATGTACAGGCAGTAGTAGTAGGAAGGAAAAATAGATAAAACAGTCTATCCTTTCTGAGGTAGAAGAATTCTACACACAAGTACAATGGGTTGAGTCATTTGTTTCTTCATTCCAAAGTGGGTAACTAGAGCACCCATTAAGTTGCATAGCTAAAATGTAGTGCAAAATATTTTTATTTGCATTTAATTTCAATAAAAGTTTAAGCGAAGGAGTCCCTTGAATCTGCCTTCCAAAGCAAGATGACCACCTTTGCAGTTCCTCCCATTTTTTTCAGCAGTACTAACCAAGTTTGGTGTGTGCTGCTAGATAAGGCTTCCTCCAGTCAGCTCGCCAAAAACTTTGGCAACTTGTGCCAAAGAATATACCTTTCTGCTTTCACCAGCATGCTGTCACAAAAGCCCAAAGAAACCTCTACTTGCAAATGCTTGCAAAGAAGTTTCTTCTGGCTTTGGCTAGTTACCTAGATACAAGGAGAAGTTTTAAGGCAGCACAGTGTGTTGTCAAAGCAAATTTCATTGCTTTGATGAAGAGACTCAACATTTGCCTTCACTCATAAATCTCTTTTTCAAGGTGAATCTGAATTGCCTTGCATGAATCTAATGGATAACTATGTAAACCTGGGACTGAAGCTGTTTAAACAAATGAAACCAGACCTTGTGCTCCATTAAGAAATACAGAAATCAAAATTCAGGATTTTGAATTGCCTGTAGTTATTTTAACTCCTGGAATCCTCTGCTATAGATACTTTGATTGAAATAACTGCAGTAACATTTAAAATACTTCATGCTAAATTGGCCTATGTGTAGAACAGAATGAACACAAAATAATAGAATCCTGTGATGATAGAATCAGCTGTAAAACTTCAAACTGAAAACGTACATCAGAGTTAGATACATGAAATTAAGCTGGTTAAACTGGAGTTTCCTGCCTTCTTCCGTATCTACTTTTCAGCATCCTAAAATGCTACTCAGAGGACTAAAGACTATAGTATATGAAAAAAATATGGAACTGCAGAATTAGGCAGAAATATGTTTTTCTAGACTTTAGGCATGTGCCTAGAGTTGATCCACCTCAGTATTTTTAATGCTTTTTTTTTTGTAAAACGAACTTGAGTAGAAAATTAACAGATGAACAATGCTGAGCTAGAATTTTTATTCCTTATATGCTAGGTTCACTTGGTAGGCTGGAAATTTTTAATTTGGAGAATATTCAAAATGCACCTTCACTGTGAAACGGTGCTTATCTATATACAACCTCATTTTAAGTCAAACATATCTTGGAAAGGTTTTTAGACTGCAGTGCAACTAACATTATAATAGTTACAAATGTTTCATCCAATATTTTTACAGGTCACCAATATAATGAACACAAAAGCATCAAAGAATTTGAAAGTAACAGCAAGGTATGTGAGCAAAGTTCATCTGAATATTGGTATAGAATATTTTTTTGTATTATGTGGCTGAACCAAATTTTAACATTTTGTTCTGAAATTAAAGGCTCATTTTACCAATCTCTTTCCAGTCTCAGTATTATTAGTTCTTGTTCTATGCATTTATTTCTATTCAGATTAATCATCTCTATCTGTATCATCCAGCATTTTTCTACACACTTCAAGGATTCTTTTTTTATGTATATGCATAAACATGAATGATGTACTGTATCTCATTCTTCATAAACCTACATTAAAGAAACCATTAAGCTGTTTTTAGCTGTATGGGAACTTCCTTGAACACTTTTGGATTCTATTGTCCTAAAATAAGCTTTCCTTTACAGAAAAATAAATGAACAGGAGAAATACCAGCTACTTTGAAAGTATCTTTAAAATGTAATGAAGGAAAATTAATTCTACATAATTAACCTTGAATTCTGTAGTTGTGGATTATGGAACGCTCAACAGCGTACGTATAAAGGAAAAAGGAAAAGCTGTACTGTTGGGACAAAAATGGTATCAGAAGGACCTTCCGCTTCTGTGTAACAGTACTATCAAATTCAGTTTATACATAGAACAATATAGGCTTAACCCACATTTATGTGATTCCCAGCATGTTAAATTATCAAGACATATTACTTTCTTATATGTTTCCTGATATACACTTTATCACCAATGCATGCAGTTTTAATTTTCTTATTTAATTCAAATATATGGTCTTTTTTCCCAATCTATGATTTGTGATATAAAAACAAATTAATAATAATTAATATGAACAAGAAATATAAGATGATACATCTCTCTTCTCCTTTCTCTGCCCACACCCAAATTTAATAAATATTCCTTCTTAGTGTGATAGATGGCCTTCCTCAATCCTAGTAGTCCAAATGCATGGAGTTAATTCTCAGACTTCTCAGCAATGGGGAATTCGCTAGGATCCTGAGAGTGGAAGTCTGTACAGCTGAAGTGTATCCAAATTAGGAAAGCCTATGATGAAGTGTTACCTGCCTGGAAATTACATAAACTCTTAGAACCAATGGATTTTTTTTACCATGTGTGTATACCCACATTCCTGAGCTAACAGATACCTCTGGGAGCTTTATTTATAAAGATGCTCCTGGAAAGAACCTGTTAGTCACTTGCCCTGAAATTACCCTACTCAAACCAGGCAGCTTCCAGCTTGCAGGGTGAATTTTAGGAGCTTCCACTGGGAGCTGTTTCCATGTAGTTACTTTTCTAGGGAACAAAACTGAACTAACTCCTCCTCCAGCAGAACAGCTACAACTGAGCTGGGAAATTGGCATCTTGTAAAGTTTTTAGCTATACTATAAAATTATATTAAATGGTTTTGAGTTATGTTTTGCTGTGCTGTACCGCAGTGCTGCTAAAAGAAGTGTACTGTAGCTGTCAGTTTGATACCAGGCTAGAATTGGAAATTAGTGATTTCAAATTCAAGAATTTAAATAACTTGGTGCCAGGATACTTGAGAGAAAGTTTTCTCTTACACAGACCTGCCTGGCATCTACCATCATTATTCTGAAAGGTTATGCTATTGCTTGATTGTGCAACTACTATGGACATTAGTTTGAGATCAGCTTTGAAATGTCTTCTTTCTTTTGTCGCCCATTCTCTGGAGTACCCTCTAACCTTACCCCATCCCAAATGTGCTATACCTTGTTCAGTCTCAAATTAGAATTGTTATTTGCCTATGCATTTGAAGATTTAGTAGGATTATGGTCCTTTTAATAAGTAATGTTGATTATGATACATGATTATGCTTGTCTATATAGACGATAGTGGTTTTGTTATGCACTGAGTATACTATGTACATCAATAGCATGTACTTATCAAAATCATATTTAAACATAGATTTAATAAAATTTCTACATATCTATACAGGTATGCTCAGCAGTTGCAAAATATGACTTTTCATAGAATCCTAGCATTTGCTAACACTTCTAGTCCATTTGTACAGAATTGTGTTCAGTTTGGGAGGGCCAACTGTGAGATATTGGTTGAGTTAAAAAGAGGCTACGTGTTATTGGATGCTCCTATCGCATGGAAAATATCAGATATGTAGAGTGCTTATAATTGATTTGAGGATTATGACCTCCTATTTGTAGTAGAGAATCTGGCTCTGCTTTTTTCCAACTGCTCAGTACTTTTTTCCATAAGGTATTAGAGAGACACTGCTAGTTAGGATTTGACAAACTATTGTGAATATGCCATAACAAAAGTAAAAAAGCTATTTTAAGTTTAATTATGCTATACTGTAGTGGAATTCTCCTCTGAACATTTAAATTATGTATTTAATAAAAATATACAGTTGAAAAAAATAATTTGTAAACAAAAAACTTTTTTGTTACTCTTAAAATATTCTCAAAATCAAACCCTTTGTGACACTTATAACATAATTTTAACACACTGGTTTTTGTTTGTTAATTTTTTTTTTCTATCCATACTTGCTTGCATAAGGAAAAATGTCTGTTAGACACATCCAGCTCTATAGAAACATCAACACATGAAAAGCAGACTGACAAGGCTGAGATTGAATATGCTCATGATGAAAAGACAACTGAAGCACTCATTCACAGTGAAGAATCACATAATGAAAGCAGTCGTTTTGATTCAACACACTGGGAAGAAAGATATGAAAAAATGTGGGTTGCAAATGAAAAAAAGGAAGTCAAAGCAAATTTTAAGAGCATTACAGCAGAACTAAAACAGATGTTTGGTGAAATTAATGTTTATGAGAAAATCAGTAACACTTCAAGCAAAGGAAGATCACAGGATGGTTTCTGTTGTGCAACAGAAGGCATAAAAGAAACATCACTTCATCTACAAAAAATAATGGATATTCAAGGAAAGGGTGATATTAGAGATGTAAGGTCTGTCACTGCAGAAAGGGAATTAAATACTGATGACTGGAACACAAATAAGAACTTACTGTCTAATAATGCAATAGGAACAAAACCAAATATCAGTGAAGAAAGGAGTAACAATACAATTATACAGCTGAGAGCAGATGTGAGTGAAACTGCTACGGCTTCAGAAAAGCATCTTGAATGTTCAGTGCAAAGTCATGAAGACATTACTAAAGATACAATTTTTAAAACTATAGATGCTAAGCAACCAATTATAACCAACAACTTATATAAACATTTTAGTGTAACAAAAAATCCAAGTGAAGAAACTGAATACCATTTTAATAACAGTATCAACAGTTGTAAAGATACTGATATTGAAATTGGAAATAAAGTAAAATATCATAACCGAATCTGTCCTCAAATATCCAAAAAAAGTCTGGATGAAGAATTAGAAAATGATGTTGCAAGATTTAAAAACGAGGTAGGAATACTGCATTCAGTTTTCCTCGTTTTGGAGAAAGAAAAGACCCAGCTACAAAAAGAGGTAGAGAAGTACCTGCTGCTTTTCATTCTTACATCTTTCTTGCATTTCAGCCATCCTGTTCATTTCAGCTCTTCAGCATTTTTCTTTTAAAAAGCCTTTATATGTTGGCTTTATGTAATAATGCTGATGTGGATTTGGAAATAAATTATGTGTTTCTTGCATTTCCTTTTTATTTTAAAAGCATTCAGAAATTGAAGCATGATACAACAATTATCACAAAGACTCAAATGGCTGTTTACATAGGTGCAACTTCATTAACAAATGAATTGCACCACTTTTATACTAATTATACATTTAAATGATCCAAAATGTGAAAGTGGCTTCTGAACAGGTTCTTGATTGATCTTTCCATTTTCTATCATGCTTACCTAACACTTTTTGCTCTGCGTGAAACATTTCTATCTTAGATTTAGTTTCTATGGTACAGTATTGTTGATCACTTTTCAAAATAATACCTGTTCTGTTAATAATAAAAATGTGTGTCTCTAATGCATTTTTCCTATCACTAATATATATGATTTTTCATTATTTCTGGTTAGACCATACTAATTATTATTAATTTGCAACCATAGTGATGTGTGATTATTTTCTTTTCTAGGGCTGTTCTGGAATATTAAGCAAAAATCTGTAGTAGAACAAATAATTTCTTATTGATATTTTTATTGCCATTCTTAAAACAATAATGCAATACATCACTGTTTTAGATTGAAGAGGAAAAAATAAAAAAGGAATTGGAACTTGAAGGAAGAAAAATTGCTAATGCTGAGAAGTTGGCTGTGAGTAATGATGAGAAGGTAGAAGAAAAGCATTCAATAAGTGAAATCCAGCATATGACAGCAGAAAGTGTTTTCTCAGCAGATAGAAAGGAAGTAATTTGTCCAAGGTGAGTATAATAATAAAATTAAGTTGAATCTCTTCTTATATGAACTGACTTCTCAAATTTTTTATACACTATTGCAATATACTATTTTTTTTTTTGAAACTTTGCTGTTTTATTTTCAGCTATTTAAGACATACAATATTACTAATGTAGGATAAAGCATAGGTGATTGTCTTAATGCAGACCATTGGCTTATTAGATGATAAAATAACTTATTCAGTTATTTTATCATCTAATAATTCAAAGTAGTGGTTTTGGTACAGAATCTTTCAGCTGTGTGAATTCCATAAAGTGATTCTATTGCTAACACTTCTTCATCAATGCAGGAAGGCTTAATATCATCTACTATGATGGCCACAAATGAAACACCCTTCAACTGCTGCTTCATTTGATCTTTTATAAAAGTCAGTATAAAGTCAAACATTTCATTCAGGGCAATATTGAGAGATCAGGGAATGCTGTGGGTAAAATTCCAGGGCCAAGTCAATAGGTACTGCATGATCATGATATCCCATATCAGCACAGAGTTTGTATCACTCTTGACATGTTAGTTATGTTTTCACACGGACATAAGATGACCTTTATCCAACAGATCACTGATGTTTTCTCTACCCATTAATAGCTGTATAAGGTTGGATGCATCATAGCAATGCATCTTCTCTGTGAGATGCTCCAAATCTTCTATTTGCATTCAAGTTTTCCCACACCTAAGTAAACAGAAAATAATCTTTGGTCATAGAACCACACTGATATTCCTTTCTATTGCATCAGGAAAAAGAGAATGTTCTTTATGTTATGTTCATTCTGCTACAAAGATTTGTCTGGGCTAATCTTTTTGTCTTATGGCTTTATTTCATGTCAAATTTAGTCCTCTAATTTTCTTTTGGAATATTTTTCTTTTAACTGTGACTCAAGTTTTGTCATAGGACAGGAAGATGATCTTGAAGTAACCAGAATTCTTTCTGTGATCCAAGTAAAGGATATCTGTTGATTACAAAGATGCCAACGTTACAGTAGTCAAATTAATAGGAACTGTAAAAATAAGTATCCAGTTTCCTTCATTTGTGGCTCAAAGTCTTAAAGTATATTGTAATCAATATGGTATAATTTGACCAAGAGGCCATTGTACCTGTGTATCTGCTTTGCTGTGATGCCATTTGATCTATGTATCTTGATTTCCATGAGGTTCTTTAGTTTTAATGAATGATACACCTGTTCCAGATGAGAAGAATATTTCTGATTCTCTCATTATTCCAATAAGAATTCTAATGTGGGCTTCATTTAAGATTTTTTCCAGATGCATAGAACTATATGTCATTATATTGGTACAGTTAACCCTTTATTCAGTAGAATTTTGAATTCCTAAATCCAGTATGCTGTCAGATTAGAAACGTTGCCATTCTTTTGTTTATTTTTAATGATATGTCTTCATTTTTTTCTGCTTTAACTTCTTGGGGAATAAGATTATGTTAAAAGAATGATATTCAGTTATTTAATTTTTTATTTTTATTTTGGAAAAAAACTCCAGTTTAAAAGATACAAGAAAAAGTGAAAATAAAAGGCGGAATTCAAAGCAGAGAATCGATCAACAGCTCAGTGATAATCTACATCAGCCACAAGATGATAGCAGTTTGAGTGAAGCATCTCTTGAAGAAAGGTATGGGGCGGGTTCTTAGCCAAATACTTATGAAAGTTTTATAAGAATGCACCTTTGATCTGCATCCTCAGTGTCCTATACAGTAGCTATGCTCCCAAACTTGCATATAATTTCTTTGAGCCTAGAAGGCCAGCACATCATATATAAGCTGCAAAGATTTAAAAAAAGACAACTCCGACCAATCCATTTCTTAAATTTTGTAAACCGCCCAGGGTCGTTTCAATGAGATTGGCGGTGACAAATTTGATAGATAGATAGATAGATAGATAGATAGATAGATAGATAGATAGATAGATAGATAGATAGATAGATAG